GTTCAGACTAGATCCATTGATTCTTTTGTTGAACTAAGCAAGTCTTTCATATTCCACTTCATAAAGGGACGCCGATATCAAAACTTGTGGCTCACTTGCTCAGCTTCAAGGAAGACCGAGACGAAGGCCTAAGGAGGTACCTCAATCATTTTAATGAGGAAAGTCCTCCAGATTGAAGAACCAGATGACAAAGTCGCCATGGCCTCCTTCACAAAACGCATGCTCTCATCAAATCTTATATTTTCAATTTTGAAGTGCCTGCCAAATAACATGCTAGAAATACTATCAAAAGCCCATAAATACATGAACATTGAGGATGTTGCCACAACTAGACGCGTTAAGTCCTCACATGGAGGGGAATACTAAAAACAGAGACAATCCTAGCAATTTCATCATTAGTATTGATGGTCAACAACCACTGCTTGCGTGGACGCAAAGTAACATGGTTTCCACCATCGCCCTTCGCGCCCTCTATGTCGTTGCCCTGGCCTTCCCACTTGCTTGAATTTTTAATATAATCCTCCAAAATCCTCCACATTATTTAACAAATCTTCCAAATGGCCGCCCATTGTTCCCCACATTTTTCTCCACTTTAGCAAAAAAATTCCAATAAGATGATTGCATTTTATTGCCACAAAGTCTTGAAAATTATGGGTCCTCCATTATTATCGAATTCTCCACCCAAAACAAGACCACCCCCGCATGCACTTGTCGTCATGCCCTCTGTTCCCAGGGCTCGCTCGTCACTTGTCAGTGCCCTTTGTCCCAACGATACCCTCACATGGCGCAAGTCTTCGTGCCGACACCCTCACCTGGCGCCCGCCAAGCGAGATCCCCCCATGGAAAAATCAGTCTGGCGCCCTCGCCTACGCACCTACCTTGGTGTTTGCCTCCTCGCTCGCCTTGACGCCTGCCTAGGCGCACCACCCACATTGGCACTTTCCAATCCTACATCGTGCAAGCCCAGCTCATCTAGCTGCACCTGACATCACCCTCTTGGTGCCCGCTTCCTCTCATCTAGTGCCCTCGCCTCTCACACCCTATGCTTACACTCCGCTAGCTCTGTCCCATTGGCACTCGTGTGGTCGTGCCTCCTACGACTGGCACCCTCTAGCTACCTTCACTGCTATCTCCCTCATTCTTTCTTTCTCTTGGGAATGAGTCTTATGAATCGCTAAAAACTCAGCCAAATCGTGCCTTTACTATTACACAAGTAATCTTATTCTCTAGCTTTGCGGCTCTCCCGCGAGTCATCAAAAGCTTGACCTAACTCTAGTTTTGCTTTCACGCAAATAGCCTCAATCTCCAGCTTAGCGGCTCTTTCGGCTAGAAACTCGACCTCAAGAGGTATAACTCTCTCATGAGCCGCTCACAACTTCTCCCCCATCAGAGTGCTACTTCTAAAAAAGCCGAGTTATTAAAAGAGGAGAAGGGTAAGATTTCCTATTGATGCCCTTTCCCCAAATCTCATTGGACTTTGGGCATGGGGCTAATGATGGGCCCGACACAAAATAGGCCCAAATCATAAAATGTAGATCAACAAAGGCTCAGTCATAATTTTAGTTGGTTCACGCCTACCATCTTAAGAGACTCAGCCCATCATCAACGCACGTGGGAATCTTCATCCGAGGAGAGAGAATTCATGGGGACGTAGTCATCGGGGGCATCGCCAGTCTCACAGATCACATCGCCCGTTACATGATAGCGCAAGTTTTAAAGAATCACCCCACTATCATCACATCCGTTACAAGGATAAGACGAACTTCACAGAATCACCCGGTCCTTGTTACAAGGATGGTGCCTCAATTAGAGCCCCTCAGAACTAACTTTATTTGTCTATAAATTATAAGCCCTGCCTACACATATGGGGGGAGGACATTACTCACATATGAGCACTCAATGCTCCTTGAACAATAAAATACTCCAGCCACCATAGCCCTTCATAGTGAAGTAAGTTACCCTGATCGAACCACTTAATTTATGTTTGCTTGTGTAGAGCCATCTTTACTTCATCATTGATTGATTTTGCATAAACTCGCTTTTGTGCATCATCAGTATGTACCATGTGTCAATCGATTTTTAAATTTTTTATTATGTTTAGTTCTTAAATATTAGTTTAGTAGTTCTACTATTCTAATTTCTCAGTGATAATTTAAAAAAAATTATCAAATAAATTTAATAGATAATTAAAAAATAATATTTTTTTAATTATAAAATGATAATTAACCATCTTTTTTACATAGTGATAAATTAGTCTTTTTTTATTTATGCATAATATAAATTTTTTTGGCCCTTTTATGTTGAATAGACTTAATATATTAAATATGATATGATAAATATAAATATATTATTTTATTGTGATTGATTAGAAGGAAAAAATTTAAAATATATAATTAAAGTAAAAATAACATTCCAAACAAATACATCTTAAACTAGTTTACAAAAAAAAAAGAAAACAATTTTTTTTTAAAAACATTACCATAACTCTTAGGGACGACTCATTACATTTTGGGGCCTAAAGAGACAACTAAAAAAAGAAGCATTTTATTTTTAAAAATATTATTTTATTTAAAAATTATTCTTCTCGTTTTTTGAAATGCCCACTGCCCAAGCTTAAAAATGATAATGACAATAATGAATTATAGACTCTGTAAATTTTATGGTGTATAAAAATAAAAATTAAACAAATAACAGCAGATGGTTAAAATAAAAAAACAAAAACAAAGGCAGATCAATTGCTAATTGAGGGAAGTAGGTAGAATAAGGGTAGATAATGAACAAAAGGGGATTGTGAAACTAAACCGTTGATTTGTGCACAAATATCGGATTAGAATCCTACTCTAGAGCTACTAATTTACAAGAATACTAGTTCTAAAGGCTTCAATTGATCTGTTGATTTCTAAGACCAGAATAATTGAGAATAAAAGAGAGGTTCTCTCAATTGTATTAATCAATCCAAAACTGCTTAGCCCTAAGGCTTACAAGGGTATACATAGTGCTAAAACCCTAAAATTAATTAGGAAATAATCAAACGTGACCTAATTATCATTATTACATAATTAGGCCATTAATACAGATTTTTCCATAAAATGAAATTTCCAAACTAATTATATTGCTAAAAACTACTAATCACCTAGATTAAGGTAGAACTGACAATCAATTTTGACTTTAGACGGTGAAGTTATTCAAGTATAAAATATTGTCAAAAAGGCAAAAATGCCCTTTTAGGCCTTAAACGAAAGAATTTGACTAAAATCCGCCCTAGGTCATAGTATTCTCTGTCAGAAGTGCGATGAGTTCATTTCGCCCCATCGCTGCTGACTGAATATGAGTGTTTAGAAATCCATGTATGTGAAAGTGCCTTTGAAAAGGTCAACCTGTTTGATTGGCCCGAACCACCCCCAACATTGATCCTATCCATTCCAGTACTGTGATGCTATAAGATCTGCATCAATTTCCCTTTGTTAGCGTGCGAGAAAGAGAGTGTGTGTGTGTGGTTGGGAGAATGAGTGTGCGGTTGAGAGAAAATGTTGAAAAATTCACTTTTTACTGTTACTTTTTCTTTTTAAATTTTTTTTTGATTTTTTTGGTGTCATGGGTTGGAAAAATAGACCCAAACTATCCAATTTAAATCTAACTTTAATTTTTTCGTTTGGCTTAGTTTTTATAAAATTAATTTTTTTATTGAAAAATTGTGAGCAAGTACCTTTTAACCTACATAATTGTGAGAAAATACCTTAACTAAAATCTTTTATAGATAAATATCTTTGGCTGGAAATATATTATAGTTAAGTACTCGTTGACAGATTTTCAAATATTTTTTTCACTAAAATACTATTTTTCTTATTTGAAGGCTTATTAATTTGGCAGTCCTATCTTTTATGGGATTTGATTTATTATATTAATGGTTTCATATTTTAAGGGATTGAACATATTTGAAATTCAAAATTAAACCGCATAAAGTATACCTTAACAAGTCAAATCTTAATGGCTTGACACATACTTTGAAATTCATTTTTTATATTATTTTTTAATATTAAACAACGTTGGTTGTTCTCAAATCTAACAGTGTCAATTTATAATATTATACTGTAATGTAACACTGTAATTTATTAAAAATATATATGAACATCACATCTATGATGTCACATTATGTGATGTATACTATTTAGATTGTATATAAATCAGTGAATATAATTTTACAACTTTTTTGTCAGTGATTAAAGCGTTAATGAAGACGTTATACTGTCATGTATCATTGTAATGTTACATTATCGACAATTTGAATCAAAATAAAAAGAAAATCGGTCTTTACTGGTACTTCAACGTTTGTGTTTTTTTTTTGTTGAAAATTGAAAGATTTTGTAGTGGATTTTTTCTTTTTAAATTTAAAAACCCATGTGTTTGAGGAATATATCAATTGTCGAATTCAATGGAATTGTTGCACAGCTTGTGACTGTTTCCTTATCCACTCTTTGTGCCAAATAATTGTTATCTTGTGGGCATTTATGTCATCCAAAAAAAAAAAGTACTTCTACATAAAATATTTTGCACCAAATATTTTTCTACAATTAAGTAATAAATTAAGTACCGACTCACAAAAAACTCAAATCAGTGATTATAATGACAAATAATGGGCCCCCAACTAAAAAAATAGGGCCTAAAGCATAGGCTTTGGTGGCCTTATACTAGGGCCGGCCCTTAACTCTGCTCTAAATCCACCATGACAATAATCTAAGTACCCTGTGCACTATCTTGCCTTCTGTCTGAGGAAGTGGCATCTAAGTCCCCTAGGAAACCCATATTTTTTCATGAAACTATTGCTTCATCCAGATAGCACTATAGGAGAGAGAGAGAGAGAGAGAGAGAGAGAGAGAGAGAGAGAGAGAGAGGGGTTACATAACCATGTTTAACGTATTCAAAGCACAAGGAAATCAAAAGCCAAGCGGAAATAAAGATGGTACAGTGTCATTATATTATTCAACTAATACTATTATACAGCTCATTCCTAATTGTTTGAGGAGCAGAACCACCAGGTATGATACTCTCTCTAGGATGTTTGTGTCATCACAGCAGAGACCATTGTGTTCATTCCACACATGCCGTGCCCCCGGCAAAGGCGGTAGTACCCGTGTTCTCCCCAGTGCTTTCCCCACGAGTTCTTGATGATCCAATAGGGCTTGTTGCCAAACCTGAGGATTGAGAAACCTTTGGAACCATATCCCACAAGTAAAACGCCATGGTTGAGCCGCTTCTTGCCACAAATTAACGGACATGAGACCCCGCCAATGTAAGTTTGCATGAACACCGCATTCAGCCCAACTGCACGCCAATGTTCAAAGCAACATTGTATAAGTAATGCGAAGAAATCAAAATCATTTCGGGTACCTTGGCTATGTTGAAAGGTTTCAATTTGCTTTGTAATTTTTTGATACGTAGATTGTCTAAAACACACAATGCAAATTATGATTGGAATCCAGAAATTAAATCTTGATTACTAGAAAAAACTCATTTCAAGACTTACAATTGGATAACAAGAAAACTTGAAACATAAAAAATACCCCATCATAAAATTATGCATGCTTGATGAGACTCTAAGGAGGTCACGGCACAAAAACATTCTCAAAAAGATACCTGCAAGAGGTCCATGATGGACTAAATTGGCTGCGATTTGGTCCTCATCGATGGGTATAGTAGTGAAATTCATGACTTTAACTGCAATTTTCTCAAATTTGAACTTGCATTCACCACGTTTTCCAGTATAAGGATACGAATCCCCTTCTTCTATTCCTCCCACCTTGATCAAATAATCGTAAGCGTTTGTCATCAGGCCTCCCAAGCATCCATCGTCACAAGCGGTCTTGTCTGTTGCATCACACTTCACAAAATATATACACACTTTGTGTCAAAAAATGAAGTAAGCAATCTTATGTTTTACCTATGCAAGTTGGCACATTGAATAATGCTAATGGAGGTATTACCATACCTAAAACTATTTTGTTCTTTGTTCAAAGCAACAGGTTAAATTCAAATATCACACAGCTACATGTCCTGAGAGGTACAACTATATCAGGAAATTATGCATCCATTTTAGATATGAATCCACGTGAGGCCATACTTTTCCACTTCATGAGCAGCCTCATTACAGGAACACTCTCTAATTTACTATTCGGAAAAAATAGCATTGCTCTTAAACGGGGCCCTAGATTAATCACAATTGAAGACACAACATGCAAACATATTACAAGTGGACAGAAGCGAACCGTATGATCACAATCTATAAGCTGTTGCTCACTCAGACTGATAAGCTTCCCTGTTGCAATGAAATTGGCTCCCTCAATAGCTCCTGTGGTGCTAAAAGCCCAGCATGCCCCACACAAACCCTGCAAAACATAACAAATACCCATCTAATAATAGTAAGGAAGCTCATGAAAGCAGCATCACAAGCCTATCGTTTTACGCCATAAAGCATCCTATATCACTTCTTACAAAATGGTCACATCATTTTAAAAATTAATGAATGCACAATCATACTGAAATCAATCAATGAATGGACTTCAGAGATTGTAACTGAGGGCAATTTAACCGGTTTCCAGTGCAAGGGTATTCCAGGTGAGACAAAATGAAAATCCAGATAACATAATCTTGGAATCAAAGTGTGAATTTTTAACATCATTGTAAGTTCTTGGTCTTTTTTACCCCTCCCCCAGGCTGGGGAAACATGGAGTATTGTTCTCATTGCAAGTTCATTGTCACCTGGAATAGTGCAGTGCCCAAAGATTTAGGTAATAGTAATATGACTAGCTAAGTACTCAAATCAAGATGTTTTTCCAATGAATGCAAGCCACAAGATTAAGTTGACTGAATTAGCAAGAATCTGCCGTTTGACTTGTACCAGGATGGGGCAGTTTGAATCGGTATTCGGAATTTAACTAAAGTTTAACCCAAGATTTTCCGTCTCGTTTCATACAATAGTCCAAGATTGCACTTTTCATAAGAGCAATGTTATTGAAATAAAATTTATTAACCTAAATCACTATAATTATTGGATTGATTGTGGGCTCTATTTAACATTAGAACTGATGTTAATCTAATGATTTTACTAAAATCATATCATTATATTAGTAAATTAGGTCAGATTACCTAACAAAGTTTGATAATGAATGCATACGTAATAGCTTTGATCCTATAAGACATTGCATTGGCTACAAACTCAAAACTCTAAATTGCACCTGTAAAATAGTAATTTCACATATCTACACCAGAATTGAGTTAAATATATGAAGTCATTGCATTCTTTCTGGTCCTAGAAGGAAACCCGACTTTCCTTCCCCTGAGGGCCAAGAAGAGTGGGAGGAACATGACGCAGATCTCATGTATGGCAGCTGTTGGAACAAACTCCGAATCCAAAATGTACAACTCTACCCTTATGCCAACATTTCAATAGACACAAAAAAATTGAAAAAATAGGTTTAATAAAACCTGTCTTGTTGTAAAATTAAAATGACTCGACAAGTTAGTTATCTCTACACATAACACGATAATGTGTAACCAAAAAGGTGCACAGTAACAGTGCTGACCTGCATCTTCACCTCACTAACAGCGCCTCTCTCTCTCCAATCAAAACTTTCTGGCAACCCACGGACCTCCATCGCCGCGGCCTTAATCGTAATACCACTCAACTGAGTCCCTCCACCACCATCGCCACCTTTCACACCCATAAACATGGTCTCAAACTCCTCCTCTGAGAGATCGGAAAACTGGGTGACGCCGTGGACCGCCGTGGGATCAAGGGCCTGGTGCTCGGCGGCTCTTATGAGGTTCCCGGCGAAGATCCCGAGACGGTGCACGTACTCCTCTGTAGTAGAGTAAGTTTTCCCATACTTCTCCATGAAGGACTTGAAGCGAAGCTCTGAGGCGGTGCCGAGAAGGTGGTTGTTTGGGATGAATTTTCTGTGGGCGGGAATGGGATTCTCCGTGACTTGATATATATTTGGGTCCCGTGGGCTTGCACGGAGGGTTGCCGAGAAGGTGAGTGCGTAGGTTAGGACAGCAACACTGACCGCGTATGTTAGACCTCCTCCAACCATCGTCCTTCTTCCACAGCTCTGCTCTGCTCCTCTTCTTCGGCTGTGTGATGGTGGGGAATGGAAGGAAGAAATGAGATCATACCTGTATGACAAATAGGAGTCTGAAATTACAGCTCTGTCCTCAAGCGGTGGAAGCATATAGTTGAGTTTTAATTAAAACAACAAGAAATATTATGGTATTTAAAAAATATAATTCATTATGATTATAAATACTATTTAAAAATAATTTTATATGACAACACGTTAGGAGTGTAAAATATAATATGACTTACTAAAACGATGCGAGATTAAAGGGTTTGAGTTTTCTTTAAATTACCAGTTTTATAAATAAGTAAACCCGACCCGACACGCGATTAATAAAAAAAATGATACGAGTGAATCAAATTAAAATAAATGCACAGTATGTTTCATTTATAAACTAATTATATATAATTAGTACACGATATAATAACACGATACATTATATATGAATTAATAGATGAGTTGGGCATGAACAGAGCTACTTTTCCTTTATTGTTTAGTTTTTTGTTTCTGTTCAAATTTGGAATCATTATACGCCACAAAAAGTACAAAATATAAAAGAAACGAAAACGGAAATCAGAAGGGTAGTACCGTAATTACATATTCTTCCATATTCGCACTTCATGCAAATATTTCTCTTTGCTATACAACACGTGGAAATATATGATGAGATCTCCCTCAATCTCGCCACGTACAGAATTAGGGTCGGGCCACTGGGACCTGACGTTGAGCTTTACAAAACTGATGGGTAAATAGCAGTGACAGCCCCTCATATTTCTGATAATTGTACGAACATATCGTGGGCTTTCTTAAATTTCATGAACAGCCCTTGTCATAATACAATCACCAATTTGCCCATGTACATCAATTCCATTTTTTGTATAGGGTTAATTCGTGGCGACGATTCAATTGTATGCTGACATGTGTTAACCCATGGCTGTTCAGATGATCAAAACCATTTGGACCCGAGGAGCAAAATGTACCCCAAGAAGTAGATGGCCTACACCCAAACTCTGAGCATCATGTTGACATGAGGTGGTTATCCAGAAAGCATGGGAATTGTGAGGTCTTCGGGCCCGTGTCTAAAAGTATGCGGCCCCAGATCGAGCATATGTTACTAGATGTTCAAAATAAGTGGGATGGAGTCATCAATATGTAGCTTACTCCGACATGCTAGACTCTGACATCAGGTCGCCTTGCATTAATGAAGTGTGACATAAGCACTCGTTAAGCTAGGCGAATGAGTCAAGACATTAATGACTGAGATGTAAAAAACATCATGAATCGTCACATGTATAAATTCACAGCAAAAACATGAAATGAAGGTACACAAGTTGAAAACGCTCTATATTAAATACTCTACACATTTATACGCCGACTGACTTAAGCTTCGAAAGGGATAAGTTGGGTGTTCACCCAACTCCTTTCTTAACTTCGCCCATCGTTTGCTAGATTGTTCAAAGGATCATTAGCGTGGATCACTAGCTCAATTCATTGCAAGAATTTTGTCATGCAATTTGGCGTTTTTTGTGGGAATGATACAAATTTGACTTTCTCATTGTGATACACTATGTTGAGTACGAGAGCCTGGAAGGAGGGGGACAAATTTTCGACTAGGAATGTGGGGGTTGCATCCTTCCCCATTTTGACGGAGTCCCAATCCTTAGACCTGTTGGATGGAGTTCGGTGTAATTCCCAGCACACCCATCTAGTGGATTAAAGTCTAGGGGAGCAAGGGGTTCTAGCTTAGGAAATAATGGAACTCATTGAGCAACAACTCGGCGATCAACTTAATTGGATTGAAAGGGACAATATCAATGTCCTCAATTGGATTAGTGATTTTGAGCTTTCAGAGGGCAACAACCAATGTAGTTGGCGACAAGAGCCCTATCCCTTTAAGTGAGAGTGTTCCCCTAAGGATGCCTCCGAAGGAAGGGGAAATGAGGATGAGCATTATCCCATTGAGACTTGCATGATGGGTATTCTGGTGCTGATGAAGGAGCAGCTTCCTAAGTCAGTTCAACGGCTTCCGCTAAGTCGGGGGATTAAAAATATATGAGGCATCCCAGGCATCGAAATGAAAAAAGGGAGGCGGGGGACAATGATACAGAGGATGAGCAGGTGGTGTTCCCCTTCATCCGGAGCATCAGGGCATTTCAGATGCCAAAGAAGTTTGTCGTACCCCGCTTCAAGTTGTATGATGGGCGAATGGGCCTGGAGAGTCATCGTCGAGAGTATAAACACTTGATGTCAATTTACGACATTGGCCACAAGTTGTTATGTCGAATATTCCTCATGAGCATGGGAGAGACTGCCATGAAGTGGTATGAGAGCCTTGCTCTGGAGAGCATCGGGTCATGGAGGCAAATGATTGAGCAGTTCATGGCTCCGATCATAACTAGTCGCAAAAGGTTGAAGGATGTCGGTGCGTTGCCTACACTTAAGCGAAAGGAGGGTGAGGGCTTCCGGCAGTACGCCACCCACTATTGAGAAAAGGTGAATAAAGTCGAGGAATGTTTTGAGACTATGGCCGCCACAACGTTCAAACTCGGGTTATCCCGAGATACAGACTTGTACAAATCTCTTACCAAGAGGACCCCTCTAGACATAAGGGACTTGATATCCCGCATCAACAAGTATTCTAAGGTGAAGGAGGAGACCGTGGCAGTTTTGACCAAAGGCAGCGGGTCAAGGAAGAGAGCGAAGGAGGTCCCAAGTCGGAAAAGCTCGATGGCTCCAATGACCCCCATGTCTTTTGGGGGGAGGGGAATACAGTCTGCAAAGAGCCCATCTACAAAATGCTCCATAAGATCAAAAAGAAGCCCTTATTTTAATAGTCTCCCAAGATACAGCGAGACTCGACGAACAAGAACTCGATCTCTCAGTGTTCATATCATAGGGACACTAGGCAACTCACTAAAGACTATAGGGTGTACAACGCATTTTTGGAGCAACTGGTGTAGGAAGGTCACTTTGGCGAGTTTATAGATGTTGGTGTCGGGGGTTTCACGAAGGCCATGAGAGAGGCAGATTCAGACATGGTGGCAATTATAGAAGTCATTCACGCCTGCACCGCTGATTGTCTGACCTATAATTCTCTACGGGTTGACCTTTAGAAAGTCGCCCAGACTATGAAAAGGAAAGTAAGATGAGCGAGGGGCAACCCTTCATCAATGCCGACCTCTTGCCAACATTGACGTCATCATCTTCATCAATGCCGACCTTGCAAGGGTGGCGGTTCTTCATGAAGACGCTCTAGTCATCACTCTCCGAATAGAGAAATTCAATGTAAAAATGATCCTAGTCGACTCGAGGAGTTCCTTCGAGGTCATGTACCTTAGCCTTTTCCAAAAGATGAGACTTGTCACTAGGGACCTAAAGCCCATGAAGATGCCCCTTTTGGAATTCAACGGCTCCTATGTTTTTCCTGGGGCAAGATAACACTTTCAGTGACAGCAGAGACCGTCATCGCTATGGTAGAATTCATGGTGATAAACTTTGATTCTCTATATAATGCCATCATGGGGAGAACTTGGCTTCACACATTGAAAGCTGTGCATTCCTCTTACCATCAAAAAATTAAGTTTCCAACACTGAAGGGGATCGTGAAAATTTGTGGTCATCAGGCATCTTCCAAGAGCTATTTTTATGCCGCCATGAAGGCTATCACTAATGCCAAGGCCAAAAATAGGGATCCTGAGGTGGTTGTGGCCAAATAGTAATCACAACTTGGTCTGTTGGGCGTTAATGAGCCCATGGTTGACTCAACCAATTTTTTGAGAGAGGGCTTGGTCCGGTCATTGATGGAGGAGACCGAGAGGAATGAGATGACAACCTTTCTCCGAGGAAATTCTAATATTTTTGCCCGGAATCCCGCCGAGATGAGTAAAGTGAGCCCTGAGGTGACCTGTCGCCGGCTACATGTGGATCTAGCCTTAAAACCAATGAAAATAGGGGCTCGGAGATGATGAAGAAGTGGACCAATAACTAAAAGTGGGGACCATCAGGGAAGTTCAATTCCCCGAGCGGTTGTCAAATTTTATTTGTACCAAGAAGAAAAGTGGGTCTGTGTGGGCTTCACGGATCTTAACAAGCCCTACCCTAAGGATGATTCTCCCCTCCAAAAAGTTGACCAGCTCATTGACGCAAGAGTAGGTCATGAGTGCATGACCTTCATGGATACCTGGGCAGGATATCACCAAATCATGATTTGCATGTGGCTGGTAAGTACAGACTACAAAGTTATGTCTTTCATTACTTATATGAAATTTACATGTTATGTGTGTGGATAAATAAGTAGTTATAATGAACTAAAAATTAATATTTATATATGAATAGATTACTTCTTAAATCCACAATTCTAGTATACTACTTCCAGCTCTAGAGAGACGTTCAGAGAAACAATGGACGAAACGCAAAAAGAAATACAAAGATTAGAGCCGAACATTGAATGTCAGATTAAGGTAATGATACCAATGACCTTTGGTCCAATGATACTCCTTACCTTATGAAGGCTCTGTCTTGTTGTTGTCAAGGATTCAAGTCCCCCCACCCTTTCTTCCCGAACCCCCTGCCCCCAAAAAAAAGTTTAAAAAAAAAAAGATTTAGGCAATAAATCAGGTATGCAGTGCTTGTTTACTTACAATTTTATTTATTATTTGAATGACATGTTATCTAATACATTTTCCTTCACATTTATAACGTATGTAGTTATTTTTGTTTCGGGATAAAGCAGAAAAATTTGGATCAAATATTGCGCAAGCAGCAGTTAGCAAAACAAATCCTGGTAAACTTAGTTACAATTTATAATATGCAGTCAATGTATATTTATTCATTTGTGAATTCATCAAATTTATTTTATGCAATTGAATGATAGATTTTTTATGACTTATGTGCTTCTATGCTTCAAAGTATAGCAGTTAAGGTGCTAAGTCAGACTACTTCATCTTTTGGTTGTGAGCGTAAATGGAGCACATGAAATCTTATTCACACCAAGACAAGAAATAGGTTGAAATATGTTGAACTCCAAAAGCTTGTTTTCATTCACTATAACATGAAATTGAAAATTAGGCATATTGTGCGAAAGAACCAGCAAGAGATTGAGAATAGCTTGAATCCTATCAACTTGGATTACATATTTCATGAAGATGATCCCCTGAATCCATGGTTAGAAGAAAGGGAAGAACCATTGATGCCCTTGGATAAGGAAACTCACTCTTGAATGAATTCTTTTGGTGAAGATGATGATAATGAATACATACCTCTTTTCTGAGTCACATGATAACTAAGGCTCTGATTCAAGTCCTGCTCTGACTGAAAGCGATAATGGTGATGGTGGTGGCAATGATGATGATGATAGTTGTGATGATTATGATGATGATGTTGATGTGGGTCATCAGGGTGTTAGTCTAAGTGGATTTTACGGTTATAATTGTGAGGATAGCCTTCCAGTTCAGGGTGATAAAGCCGGTCATAGTCATGATTCACCGTTTCGCGGGGATCATGGGAATTATGGATTTAGTGCGGTTAGAGTTGATCCAAAAGCTTATAGTCAACAATCACGGCGTGGAAAAAAAAATCAAGTAGAAATACGATAAATTGGTATGAAAATAAAGATTTCTCGTC